TTCATTTATTATCAATTGTATAATTTTTAACAATATATCGCAGACTTAAAAACCTCAGATCAGACCTCCTTGGCCCAGGCATCTCACAAAACCCAATGATGGATTGCCCAATGATGTACTGTATGCAACCAAAGGAGTTAGCAATTTTATCAATAAAGTCAATGGAAATCACTCGATTGACCAAGCCTTGAGCTAGCTATGCGTTACCATGTTCGCTATGCTACCGCATAGCTCATGGCTGGTGTCGGGTGGTTACGTTCCGATTCCGTGTTCGACCCGCGTGGTTACGACCCAAGTGGTTTCGACCTACTCTAATATATATCCCTACATGTTAATACCTGAGTACAGGGGTATACACTGTGCGGTAAAAAATGGATATCCGGTAGCTGTATATTGTATGGCTTCAGAGATGTGCGTGTCAATAGGTAGTAGTTTCCGTATGTGTAGTCAACATGCAGGTTTCCTAACATTTTTTTCTACTATCGCGGAGCATGAATATTGATAAATTTGATTTAGTAATGAATTATATTTGAACAGTTTTCCATAAAAATTAATCAAATACTTCTTCAAATGTACCGTGATCACATATGCACTGTCTGAACAATGCCAAGTTTCTCCAAATTTAATTACATACGATAATTAACACAAATATACGTGGTCAATATTAAAAAAAATTGTAGACGAAAAAATACAATGTAAAACTTTTGAAAGTGTTAATTAATTTCGTTCCGAAGCAATTAATTGTTAATTAATTGATTTGGAACGAAACCACTCGGGTCGAACATGGATTTGTGTCGAAACCACGCGGGTCGAAAAAGTCATCGGAACGTAACCACCCGCATTCCTCATGGCTTAGTGAAACGAGTGACTTCCATTGACTTCATTGATTTAATTACGAACTTCTGTAGTGTTAGACGCTGATAATTTAAAAAATCCAAAGATTAACATAACAAACAGTTAGTAAAATTTTTTTACGATAAATCGATTGTATAAACATACCATAACTAGTTACTTGAATGTAGTCACCTTCTTGGAAGTGTTTCCCACACACAACACTTGTGGAACTCGGTTGCCACAACTTTCCGGGTTTTTGGTCCCTTTTTATAGCAATTAGCCATTATTTCCGTAAATTTTCATTCTTTGGAAATCGGTGTCCACCCCTATTAACGCAACCTGGCACACAACAGCCCGATGAAGGCATTGAAAAATGTTAAAATATAATAAATTCAGCCAAATCTATAATTATTCAATATTCAAAATGGATGTCAGGACCGCATCTACAACAGCGCCACCAACTTCCGCCGCAAGGGAGAAAACTGTAAAAATTTAAGCAATTACAATACTATGACATGTAGTGAGAAACATGTGTGTTACATTACTATGACATGTAGTGAGAATCGTGTGTGCGTCTGTGAAGGTTTGGTGTTGTTGCATTTCACGGATTTTTAAACAAAAAATCCAAAAATTTGGGATAGGGTGAAAGTGTAAAATACTCTACACTCATTAAATATACAAATTACCACTGAACAAAAGACTATTAAAAATACGTAGTCAGTTTCCTGTGTGTATCTCGATAAACTGTCATGTAGTGAGATTGATGTGTACTTTTATTAATGATCACGTGGTAATATGTAGTTGAATTCAGGTGTAATGTCAAAATCTTATAGAAGTTGATTTTCGGAATTTCAAACCCCGGAGTACAAAAAGAAAAAGTGATATTATGTAAATATGATATTTGTTATTCTCTATCATACCTAGAACATGGTGTAGTGGTTTTCAGGTGTTAAGTCATATGTAGTGAGTTTCAGGCGAATACGAGTATGTGTGTGTATGTGTGTGTGAAGAAAATTATTAAAGTAGCAAAATCTTACTGAATTTAAACAATATCAAGGAACGTCTTGTCTGACCTTAATTCTAATAACAGAGGCTCTTTCATTAATCAATAAATGGGTGTATCACAAGGAAGTATCCTTTCAGTTACTTTATTCAGTATAAAAAGTAAATAGTTTAGCTGAAGTACTTAAAAATGATATGCATGGTAGCTTATATGTTGATGACTTTGTTCTGTGTTTTAAGTCTAAAAATATGAATTTCATTGAGCGGCGGTTACAATCATGTTTAAACAAAATTCAAAATTGGGCCGATAGTAATGGTTTTAAATTTTTCTCAGAGTAAATCCGCCTGTGTACATTTTTGTTTAATCGGAAAACCCATGATGGTCCACGTTTGCAATTAAATGGGAATCCAATTAAAGTAGTTAAAGAAATTCAGTTTTTAGGTGTCATCTTTGACAATAAACTTTCCTTTATTCCACACATAAAGAGGCTAAAAGAGAAATGCTCAAAAGCACTAGATATTATCAAAGTAATAGCAAACACAAAATGGGGAGCTGATAAAAGAACTCTACTTAAACTTTATCGCTCTCTTGTCAGATCTAAATTGGACTATAGATGTATTGTATATGGATCAGCTAGGACTTCCTATATAAAGGCTCTTGACGCAATCCATCATCAAGGTCTTAGATTGTGCTTGGGGGCTTTTAGAACTTCTCCGAAAGATAGTTTATATGTAGAAGTAAATGAGCCACCTCTGGACTTAAGAAGAATTAAACTTGCTTTACAATACATAATTAAATTAAAGGCAAACACTGACAATCCTGCTTATGTCTGCGTTTTTTATTCACAAAATGCACATTTATATGATAAAAACAAGAAATGCATAAAACCAATTTGTTTACGATTTAAAAATTATATTAGAGATTCTGAACTACCATTAGATATAGTGAAAACTACTACTCTTTCTGAAATACCACCGTGGAAATTAATTAAACCAGTAGTTAATAAATCCCTATCCGAACTAAAGAAATCAGAAACAAATCCTCTTGTTTTTTTGAACAAGAATTAGCCGAAATAAAACAATCTAAACATCCTACAATACAAATTAACACAGATGGTTCAAAGGGCAGAAGCAGGGTTGCTGCTGCTGCAGTGGTCAATAATAATGTTTTTCCAATACGACTTCCAAACGAAGCAACGATTTTTACAGCTGACGCAAAAGCTTTACAACTAGCTTTTGAATATATAACAAGAGGCCCAAGGGCCTTAACGGTCACCTGAGTATAATACAACAATTTAGAAGATCCATAGAGTATAAAATAAACTGAGAGATGAAGCTTTGTTGCCCAAAAGCAAGAGAAATAGGATGATCAGAATCAATGAAATAATTAGTCTAGTATTCAGTAACAACTCATACATTAAATTCTAATTTATCCCCCATTTAGCACTATCACCATGCAGACTATTAACAAACTAATAGTTCCTCTGTAGCACTTTTAACCCCACATTGTGACCTCTCACATTGGCCTCTCTTGGTCTTTGAAGAACATTTAATACGTTATTTCTGTCTCATTTTTATCTATTTATTATTTACAAGTCTATCTGATCATTAAAACTATGAAAGTACTTTTTGTATTATTCAATAATTTTTTTTTTTTGCATAATTCTCTCATTCTTTTAACTTTCAAATACATTATTTACAGTGATTAATTATCAAAAGTAAATGGCCAAGGGAATAACTTCTCTCAGTTGAATACAAAATAATAGAGCCCTGACTAGGACCAGAAAACTTGACCAAATGGTCCTGATGTTCAAAAATCTGGTAAAAATATCCTTGCTTATTAAAACTTTAATTCTATTTGCCTTCAATATGCCAAGGAGCAGAGAAGATTTTCAAAGAAATAGCATTTTCATTACAGATTCAACACACCCCTACCCTAACACTAAAACCCATGTCCCAGGGTCATGAAATTCATAAATTTGGTAGAGGTACCCTCATCATCATAACTATGCACTTAGTTGAAAATTTTCAAAGAATTTACAGATTTTCATTTTATTAATAAATATACACCCCCCCCCCCCCCCCCCCACTGAGAAACAACAAAACCTGAAGACTACAAGTTTTAAAATTTTGTAAGAAGCACAATTGTTCATCATAACTATGCACTTTATTTATCTGCTCAACACTAAGGAGCAGAGAGGATTATTTAACAGAATTAATGCATTTTCACTACATTATCAAAATTTCACGATTTTGGAAAAGGCATCATTGCTTGTCATAACCATGCACTTAGTTTGTTTATATAGAATCCAGGAGCAGAGAAGAAGATTTTCAAAGAATTAATGCATTTTCACTATATAATCAATAGAGCCCCGCCCTAACACCAGAACCCCTGACCCAGGGGCCATGAATTTCACAATTTTGGAAAAGGCATCAATGCTTGTCATAACCATGCACTTAGTTTGTTTAAATAATATCCAGGAGCAGAGAAGATCTTCAAAGAATGAATGCATTTTCACTATATAATCAATATAGCCCCGCCCTAACACCAGAACCCCTGAGGCAGGGGCCATGAATTTCACAATTTTGGAAAAGGCATCATTGCTTGTCATAACCATGCACTTAGTTTGTTTAAATAATATCCAGGAGCAGAGAAGAAGATCTTCAAAGAATTAATGCATTTTCACTATATAATCAATAGACTCCGCCCTAACACCAGAACCCCTGACCCAGGGGCCATGAATTATTTCACAATTTTGGAAAAGGCATCAATGCTTGTCATAACCATGCACTTAGTTTGTTTAAATAATATCCAGGAGCAGAGAAGAAAATCTTCAAAGAATTAATGCATTTTCACTATATAATCAATAGACCCCGCCCTAACACCAAGCTTGAGTTTTACTAAACTTCTTAAGTTACGCAAAATTTTGTTCACTTAAGAATTTCGTAAGTTCAAACTTAAGATACGATGTATTTGTTTTACTAAGCTGTTCGTAAGTATTGGCTTTTTTCTTAAGATAAGAAAATATCGTAAATTACGACAAAGGAACTCTTTATTGAAAAAGGTACAAACCTACTTAGATACGAACGCGGCGCAAGCGCAAACACAAGGTTCGCTTTCACTTTCGCGGCAAACGTCATTGTTATCGTCTGCGGAGGGCATAATGGATGAAAGTATGAATGCAAAGAAAAGAAAACCAAACTGGAGTGAGAGAGAGTTGGATATTCTAGCGGAGTCGGTGCTTCCAAGAAATAAGTTACTAAAAGCGAAGTTTTCCAATTTTGTTACCACGGATAGAAAGCAGGAACTCTGGAAAGAGATTGAGGATGAGTAAGAACCTTAAAATTAGCCTTAAATACACTGTCATTTTAATAATAAAACTGTACGTTCTATTCATAACACGAGATTCTTCTTAATGTCATTAATTATTCTGGATTTAAGCATGGAACATGAATATGTTATATCTATATAATATATATGTATGAATATGCTAGCTTGGCATGTATAGAAATGTATTTACTACAAGAAAACAAAAAAGATTAAAGGAACATGCATTCACACAGTGTATGTACAGTGTATATACAGTGAAACTTACCAAAAAATATATTAATATGATATAACAAAGTTTAAGTGTTTTACAATGCAATTAACAGATGAAGACTGATCTGGAAAAAAATACAAGTATAAAACAATAAATACATGTATAAATTTTCTTCCTTTTAGAGTCAATGCTGTATCATATGTCAATCGTTCAGTAGAAGAAATTAAAAAGAAGTGGGCAGATATACAAAGTCTGACCAAGAAAAAAGAATCGGAGAGAAGAAGGTTGATGAAGGAAACTGGTGGAGGCCCCCACTCTGATATTTATTTTAAAAGTTGGGAGAAACTGGTAAACATTTAAAATTATATTTTCTGAAATTTAAACTCACTAATTAAGCTGTCATATGCTACTCTCCATTGTTTTATTTTTAATTTGTGAAACAATTCTTTTTTTTCAACAGATCATAATTATATATATATATATATATATATTTTTTTTTTTTTGAAGAATTTGCATGTGTCATGCATAGTCTCAAAAAATGCATGAAAATAAATATATAATGAATTTTTTTAAGGTGCTGGAGTCTTTATCAGATGTGGCCATTGAGGGCATCTCTGGGGGAGTGGACACAGCAGAACCTGGTAATTCAAACATAAATTAATACTATATTATGGAGCTCATTGCTTAGTGTGATGTACATGTCAGATGAAGTTTCATCTGTTTGTAAAAGGAAATTATTTTTTTTAAAAAGACAGATGAATGATATTTATAATATTATAGAAATATAGCCCTTGACTTCACAGAAAAGCATATCAACTGAGCCCGAAGTGCGAAGTCGATATGCTTTTCTGTGAAGTTAATATATCTATGATATGACTGAATCAAAGGGCTATATATGTTTTATTATTTTCTTTGGAAAAGATTGATTGATTGTATGATGTTTAACATCCCTCTTGAGAATTTTTCACTCATATGGAGACACCACCACTTGCCAGTGGAGGGCTACAAATTTTGACCTATACTCGGCACTCAGAGCCATTGAGCAGTGAGGGATCTTTTTCGTGCCAATGCCTACTGCGACATGGAACCTTGGTTTATATGGTCTCATCCGAAGGACCGCTTTAGAAAAGAAAGAGACAAACAAAAAATTATGTAAGAATTTGTAGGTTTTAAAACTTTTCTCCATTATAAACACATCTTTGGTTTTTCCCTAAGTTATTTTTAGTAACTCAAGTCAATATCGAAAAATATGATTTTGCACGTGATAGCAAGCAAACCAATTAGATTTATTGAAATACACAGTAAAAATAATATCATTCTATATTATGTGTATTTAACAGTTTCATTCATAGTCATTTTGTGTATGTAAAAATGTTATTAAACAAATTGTTTTCAAAGTTTAATCATCATTATTATTATTATTTCTATAGTCAAAGACACATCAACCCTTAGCCAGGGAGCTGTGGTTCCAGTCACAGAGGCTGATAGACCTGGAACTTCCAAACAAGGTAAACCCCCTTCCCAAAAAAGAAATTAAAAAAAAAACAACTTATGGTATATTATTAGTTATACAGGTTCAATCAAGGGTGTACAGAGATTTACCCCGGCTTTTATTCCATACACCCTGAGGCCGAAGCACAACCCACTGGTAAATCCTGTGACATCATGTTATTTGCTTTGTGTGATAGAGAAACTATACATTGTGATGTCACGTTATTTACCCCCAGCTCAAACTGGGTATACAGAAATTTACCCAGAGCTTGCTAAACAATTCATTCTTGTGTTAAAAGCATGATCGAAAAAAATAATTCCTTACACATATTATTATTTTTTTGTTCCAGCAAACTTTATGTGTCACTATATCCTGTCAAATAAGGCTGTTACACAAAAAGGTACTGTCAAATGGAAAACATGTACACATATAAAATATTCAAAAACTATGGCAAAGGTATTTCAAAATTGGGTCATCTCAAAGATCAAGGTCAAAAAGAAAAAAATGTCAGTACCCAAAGAAAGGTCTGGACACATGGAATACACATGAAATATGAAATCCCAAGTTTTAACTTACCGGTATCAAAAGAATGTTTGGAAAACTTTTTGAAAAGTAGGTCAAACTCCAAGGTCAAGAGGTCAAAATGTTGGTACCCAAAGAAAGATATTGTCCAATGAATAAACATGTGAAATAAGAAAGCCCTAGCACCAAACATTTAAAAGTTGTGGGTAAGGATAATTTTTTTTAGGACAATTGGATGAACAAATTAGCAGACAAACAGACATATGGCATAAAAATACTTGTGTTTCTTAATACCACAAGCTTACTATTTTAGAGGCTGAAAAGAAGAAGACTCTGAACTCTGAAGCACAACAAAAGACACATAAAAGAGGTAAAATTTTAAGCAAAGAGTGTCAGCATACAGTTGTCTGTATTTTCTCAAAAAAAAAATAAAATAAATAAATAAAGAACTGAATAAGTGTGATATAATAGAGATGATTAAGATGGGTCGATCAGAGCACTTCAAACAAATAATTTTTTAGCTCACCTGAGCTGAAAGCTCAAGTGAGCTTTTCTGATCACCCGTTGTCCGTCGTCCGTCCGTCCGTCCATCCGTCTGTAAACTTTTCACATTTTCAACTTCTTCTCAAGAACCACTGGGCCAATTTTAACCAAACTTGGTACAAAGTATCCTTAGGTGAAGGGGAGTTTAAATTGTTAAAATAAAGGGCCAAGTCTCCTTACAAGGGGAGATAATCAAGAAAAGACAAAAATAGGGTGGGGTCATTAAAAAATCTTCTTCTCAAGAACCACTGGGCCAGAAAAGCTGAAACTTAAGTGGAAGCATCCTGAGGTAGTGGAGATTTTAAATTGTTAAAATTATGACCCCCGGAGGTAGGGCGGGGCCACAGTAAGTATTACAAGGGGGAAATCTGGTAAAGAACAGCATGGCCAAAGTTACTCAGGTGAGCGATGTGGCCCATGGGCCTCTTGTTTCTTGTTTGCCAAGCTTTGAGAATTTGTTGAGTTTGCTCGCTTCTTTTGGATTCTCACACAACAAGAAAACATATCAAAGATTCAATTTCCAACTTTATTCCTTTTTCTTCATTTATGTAACACTACTAGACTGACTTCCATGTTGATAAATAGTACAGACATGTACATTTACTCTCAGAAAAGACTAATACTACTCTCACACTGTTTAATGAAAAAAAAACTTTGTCTCAGTTGAGCTAATTATACTTTAATTAGGTCATCTGAGTCACTCAGGTGACCTATTGCTATCTTGGAGGTCAACATAACCGCTACATTGCGAAAAATTTGAACTCATTACCGCTACATTTCTTCGAAATTTCGGGTGACCATTACTGCTACATTTTATCAAAGAGGCTATTGCTGATTATAGGTCATTCCCGCTACATGTCGAATTATAGTTCATTACCGCTACATATCTAATCAGCCAGCAATGCCACTGAATATAAGTTCGATTCATTATGATTCATTATCAGAGATTTCCAAACAGCAGTACGTCAAGCAAATGACCTTCAAAGCTCTACCAGTTATGTAAAGACTATGTGTTTTATCCAAGAACAATGAAGATTTTACATTCGAATACGCAGGAAAAATCTTTTAAAAAATCTTTTCTCAAAAACAGCAAAGCCATGATTGGTTATATTTAGCATCCTTGGATATAGTATAGATTCTAGTTTGTTCAAATCATGACTCTGGGAATAGAGTGGGGCCACAATGGACAATCAAAGATTTACACATGAATACATATAAGAAATTTTTAACAATCTTCTTCTCAAGAATAGCAAAGCCATAATTTGTCTTATTTATATGGAAGCATCTTTGGATAATGTTAATTCAAATTTGTTCAAATGTTGACCCCCTGGGGTAGGAAGGGGGCACAACAGGTGATCAAAGTTTTAGTTAGTAATATATAGGAAATATCATTTAAAAATCTTCTCAAAAACAACAAAACCATGATAAGTCATTTTAATATAATTTAATTTTGGTTGTAACGCATCATTTGATTGGATAAAAAATAATTTATTTTGTATAACATGGGTTTGTTTTTGCAGCTTTCAATTTATAGTACTTTATGGATTGTTGTTTTATACTCAGGTGACTGTTAAGGCCCTTTGGCCTCTTGTTAAATTTGTTTCAAAATCAAACTACGGTAAGAAAAACAATTTTTATTTATTACTTGTAGATGATGAGAATGGTGCAAATGAGAGATATTTTAAACTGGAGGAGGAAAAAATGAAAAAACTGGAAAACTACAGAAAAAGAAAATTAGAACTTTTAGAGGAAATGAAAGTGTTCCAACAGAAGAGCTGTCTTGCTCTGGAGAAAATTGCAGAGGCACTAACAGAACAGCCTAAAGAATTTTCCTTGTCACCTGTTATAAAATTTTAACAAGATTAGTCAGTATATCCCTAACAAAGTTTAATCTAGTTATAATCCAACCTAATTAAAATTAGATGTTCCGATCCGCTGCCGCTTCTGTTTGAGAAGCGGTAGCGGATCGGAACATCTAATTTTAATTAGATTGGTTATAATCCCACTCCGAAGGAGAGGGAGTATACTGTTTTACCCTTGTGTGTCTGTCTTTCTGGGTGTGTGTCTGTCTGTACAAAATTTTCAGCAACTCCTCATCGCATGCTTGAAGTTTAAGCACACTCTATCGTTCGGGATGCCATATGGAGGGATTTTGTACCAATACAGTGTCAACTTTCTGTTTATCAGTGCTTCTGTCTGTACCAATACGTAAACTGAATTAACTTGTGTATATTCACATGAGAGCATGTATTCACATTAGAGCGAGGGTATTATTAGTGAGCATTGGCTCACAGACTTCTTGTTAATTATAGCTTACTATGGTATCAAAGTTTCTCCTATAGTATATCAATGTATTTTTATGCCCAGCCATGAATATCATTTATGGCATATAGTGTTGGTCATGTCCGTCTTCCATCCATCTGTCCTTCCGTCACTCTTTGCATTTAGCTCAGTTTCAAAGAAACAATTTAAGATATTTATATCAAACTTTCAATGCTTATTTATATTAATGAAAACTATTCAACTGCATCAAAAACTTTGATCTTGAACTTTCTTGTGACCTTGACCTCATTTTTCTTAAATTTGCACTTTGCTCTGTTTCAAAGAACCTATTCAAGTATTTTTAAGTAACCGTATAAACTGATATATAATTTGGTGAGAATTTTTTCATTTATATTTGTTTTTTGTATTTACATTTGCTGTGTTTTTCTACTAAGCCAACTATCCAATGATTTGAAAGTCATTTTTGTGTATACTCGCGCGCAGAAATATACACGGTGAAACCCGTGCTATAGTGACGTCACAATGAGGCTACAGAGACGTAAATAAAAATGTAACGATATAGGGCAGCAAGAAAATCAAATATTGAGTATATTATTGGTGCTTTTAAACTTGTAAAATGAAAATATAAGGCATGCTTTTTAAGTTTAGTGTGAATTATTGGTGTGTAAATCACACAGACTTGCACGTAGGCGTATTTCTTGAAGCGCACTTAAGCGCTTCATTTAGCGCACTTCATGAAAAATATGCCTATGTGCAAGCGCTAGCGCTCTTCATGAAATATGCCTACGTGACAAGTCTGTGTGATTTACATACCAATAACTCACACAAAACTTAAAAACAAAAAACATTCCTTAATTAACCTGACCATTCCATTGACTTAAGTTTATGGTTTTAATTGTCTATAAAACTCTGTTTTATAGAAACTGTTCAAGATATTTTCATCAACTTTATACACTAATAAATATGCATAACTAATGAATCCTGGGCAGAGCATTCATGTCCTATGGACATATTTCTAGTTTCTATGGAAGTCAGATTGTTATATTTTATGATCTCCAATTGTTACATGTGAGTTTTATAGTAAATGGAACAATATTACTTGTATATTATTTCCACATTTTACATCACTGTTATTGAATCTAAGATATCGTATGCCTAGAAAGCTTAAAAAAAAGTTCTTGAATAAAGTTTTATAGTAAATCAAAGTATCAGAGTATTTACTTTAGTTAACTATAGTTAACTGTAGTAAACTATAGTTAACTATTGTAAACTATAGTAAAATAAAGCAAGCTATAGTAAACTATAGTATTTCACTGCAAGTTCCAAGCTCCAAATATCATATTTAATCCATGGACTTGACCTCTCTCTTTCTTTTGCATGGTTCAATTGTACATAAAGAATAAAAATATGTACTTGTCTTTGCTTTTAAAATTTTAATTTTTGCATTATACACTCAGATACAAATTAAAGTTTTACTGTTAATACATGTAGTTAATCTTGTTACTGAAAATAAATGTGTACTTGTAGTAATAACAGCAGCTAGTGTAAAACATTGGAGCCTGTTTTCAATTTGACAGGTGTCTAAATATGTTCTTGATAAATTATGAAATGCTGCACTTTCAATATATGACCAATATAGCTCACAAGAGTGACTCAGAAAATATAGGAAGCAGGTAATAATTTACATCTGTTGCCATTTAAAATCTTTGAATGAGTCTTGTGCGCACTTCTGAAGCAGTCCTATTTGCATTATCACGATCTTCAAACTGGAATCCATCTGCATCTTCTTGATCAACTGCTTCCAATAACGGAATACCAGTTTCAATTGCAAGATTATGAAGTCTCATTGTGCATTCAATAATTCTGGTACACTTTGATGGTCTATATGGCAATGCTCCTCCAGTCTTGTGCAAACACCTGTCAAGGCACGAAATTATAATGTTCAAAGAATTAAATTACTAAACAATGAAATATATTTTATAATTTTGGCACTTACCTGAAGCGTGCTTTCAATACACCGAATGCTCTCTCAATCACGTTTCTGGTCTTGCAATGAGCATTATTATATTTCTCCTCCTGTCCAGTTCTGGGGTTACTTAGGGGGGTCATCAACCACTCTTTCAGAGGGTAGCCAGAATCCCCTACAAGCCATCCTCCATCCTCAAGACTGGAAACAAGGTTTGGTAGCGAGCTGCTCTGTAAAATGTAAGCATCGTGGGTGGCCCCTGGGAACTTGCAAACGGCATTTGTAAACCTGAACATAAAAAAGTAACTTTTTACTTGTAGATCCCGTCAAGATTATACGCAAGATTATAGGCAGTAGGAACGGGGGGGGGGAGGGTTCCCCCCCTAATTTTGCCGATATATAGAATACTATAGAAAACATAGCTACTATATGCTTGTGCCTCCTCAATGATAACGTCTGATGACCCCCCCCCACCCTTTTTTTTGCTTGTCAAGAAATCTTGGTAGTTGATAGTGCCCCCAGCTGAAAATGTATGTTTGTGCCCCCTCAAAGTGAAATTGCTTCCTATGGGCCAGTTAAGTGTATGTCAAGTGTGATAATTGACATGACTGACCTAAATTACTATGCTGATGGGGGCATAGTGTTTCACAATCACATTTTAGCTCACCTGAGCCGAAACCTCGAGTGAGCTTTTCTGATCACCCGTGTCTGTCATCCGTCTGTAAACTTTTCACATTTTCAACTTCTGATGAAGAACCACTGGACCAATATTAACCTAATTTGGTACAAAGCATCCCTGAGTAATGGGGATTCTAAATCATTGAAATGAATTGCCAAACCCCCTTCAAAGGGGAGATAATAAAGAAAAAAATAGGGTAGGGTCATAAAAAATCTTCCAAGAACCACTGGGCTATAAAAGCTGAAACGTATTAAATACATTTCTGAGGTAGTATAGATTCTAAATTGTTCAAATCATCGCCTCCGGGGATAGGGTGGGGTCAATAGCATTGAAATACATAGGAAAAATCTGGGTCCAGAAAAGCTGAAACTCAAATGGAAGCTTTTTTGAGGTAATGTAAATTGTTCATTGTTCAGATCATGGTCCCATGGGGTAGGGTGAGGCCACAATAGGGATTGGACGTGGGAAAAAAATCTTCAAAATTCTTGTACTCAACAACAGCAAGGCTATGATGAAACATTTTAATGTGGTAACATCCTCTGGTAGTGTAGATTGATTTTTGTTAAATCAGGACCCCTCTGTATGGGGTGGGGCCAAAAAAGTCGATTAAACTTTAACGTAAGAAATACATGTATATTGAGGGGAAATCTGATGCAGAACAGTAGGCCTAAAGTGACTCAGATGAGCGATGTAGCCCATAGGCCTCTTGTTTTCAGATATTTTTTATACCATACGTTGAATATAGTTACATGTATGTATCTTATTATTCTCATCATTATAATACATACTTCAGGTACGTATAGTATTGAGGGGGGGGGGGTATGGAAATTAATTGTCAACGACAGACCTCCCCTTCTTTTTTGTTGCAGTATGACCAGAATGTGGGTTAATGTATTCGATAATGTTTTGTTGCATAGAGAAATTTGGAACCTACGCGTGTGCAACTCCTACCCCCCCCCTTTTTTTTCCTGTCTTAATTAAGTACCCTATTAACGATAATCAGTCATTACATTTATAAAGCCGTAATTTTAATGAAGATTACTATCATGGCATATTAAAAATGATTTACCTTAAATCGGGATTAACAACAGCCTGCACATTGATTGAATGGTACCCTTTTCTACATATATACACCGGCTCATCTTCCAAACTCATTCCCTGAATTGGAATCTGCGTGCCATCTATTGCTCCAACCACACTGAGGAAGCCTGCAATCTTGTAAAACTGGGATTTGATCTTTCTCAGTTCATCGGTGGAGGTAGTAAAATTTATGTTCTTCAAAGTGTTGCATATAGCATCTACTACTCTATGAATGATCATACATGCCGACGCTTTAGAAATGCCGTGAAGGTCTGCTACTTCTGAGAGGTCATCACCTTTCGCTAGGAATCTGAGACACGTTAGAACCTGAAATAAAGTGTAATGTTGCCCCAGTTATACTCTATGATAACACACTGTACACATTCTGAATGTACGTATACCTGATATGTTTGTGTCAGGGAAGGGGGGGGGGGCTGTCAAATCGAAAAAAAATCTTAACAACAGGAGAAGGTAGAGATTCATTAAAGGGTAAATATTAAAAATAATGCTAAAGAGAGAACAAGTTATTTGTAATTCCAAAACAGGGAAAGAAGGCAGGCCAAATGAGGTTGTGTACGTTTCGTCTGGCTACAAAACTATGTACATGCCCTGCGTTATTCTTTTTTCATTTGCCCAAGTTATTTTTTCTGAACATGACAATACTAAAAAATTGACATACATTGTATTATAATTCAGTCAGTGTATTATAATTCAGTCAGGTAATTCAAAGCATTGACACATTATTTCAATTGGTTCAAAATTATTACATGAGTGTAAATAATTTTAATTTTATTTTACATGAAAAGAAAATATAACCTATTTAAAATTTTCGTTTATGCATTGCTTGCCTTAAATCACTGAAGATAAGCCTGGATAAATGAGGTGATTTAAAATAAATTATTATATATTTTATTATTATAGCAGACTTTAAAAAAAAAATATATATATATATCTTTAAATTAACTTAGATATACCCCCCCCCCCACTACATTCAAGGGAAGCAATTCTTTTTGGTACCAAAACAGTTGTTTCCCCTTTCAACGATCTTTTGGACACTTGCACATGGAAGGAAATTGGGTTCCAAAAGGATTCAGGTCGGACAATTTCCTTCATAAGATTCTAATTGTGTACTTCAATCAAACTAATTGTGTCTTACACCTTTAGAAGTTTGTGTACGGGTGATTCTTTATGTGTAAGAGAAATATTTTTATCTTAATGTTTTAGTTGTTCATTAGAATTTCCTCTGCTGTATATTTAATCAGTGAACTGTAGCTATCTTACCTGAATGTGTGCGGGAATTGAGTGTGATCTATTAGTTTTAGGCTGGATAAGATCCTTGAGATCGTTTACAAGGTCTAGTATGGTAACCCGCGGGAATCTATATCGCTCGATAAGCTCCACATCGGTCATCGTATCGAGGACCTGCGTTATGTCTCGGAAAACCCTCTCCCGACGAGCCTGTTTGTCATTTTCTTCATTTAGAATGTCATGAAATACTATCAGGGCAGCCATGTTTATTTAGAAATGATGCAATTTACGATAATTTCTTAACTTAAGAGAGCCCATTACCTCTCGTAAGTTACGATGACTTTATTTGTCGTAACTTAAGATAAGAAGTTTAGTTAGACGGAAATTCATCGTAACTTACGGTTACGATCAAATCTTAACTTAAGAAGTTTAGTAAAACTCAAGCCAGAACCCCTGACCCAGGGGCCATGAATTATTTCACAATTTTGGAAAAGGCATCAATGCTTGTCATAACCATGCACTTAGTTTGTTTAAATAATATCCAGGAGAAGTGAAGAAGATTTTCAAAGAATGAATGCATTTTCACTATATAATTAATAGAGCCCCCCAACACCAGAACCCCTGACCCAGGGGCCATGAATTTCACAATTTTGGAAAAGGCATCAATGCTTGTCATAACCATGCACTTAGTTTGTTTAAATAATACCCAGGAGCAGAGAAGATTTTCAAAGAATTAATGCATTTTCACTATATAATCAATAGAGCCCCGCCCTAGCACCAGAACCCCTGACCCTGGGGCCATGAATTTCACAATTCAGGTAGAGGGCCCAATGCTCATTACAATCATGCCAACAGTTTGACTGCTTGATGTCCAGGAGTAAAGAAGAAGATTTTTAAAGATTGCATCAATTTTGGTGGTTTTAGCCCCACTCCTGGGGCCCAAGGGGGGCAGGGACAATGAAATTCACAATTTGTGTTCCCCTTCACCCAAGGAAGCTGTATGTCAAAATTGGTTGAAATTGGTTGAGCGGTTCTAGAGAAGAAGATGAAAATGTTCAAAAGTTAACGCACGACGCACGACGACGGACAAAAACGGATAGCAATAGGACACCTGAGTGACTCAGGTGACCTAAAAACTTCAAGTAAAAATTCTTTTACAATATTTTCAGACTCGCTTTAATGTTTACAGTCCATACACAATATGAACACTGATCATCCATACATATTGGATATATTAAATAAGTTCTAACATCTCACTAAACAAGGTAAAAATATAGTTCTGCAAAAACTGCTCTTTAATATGAAATTGTACCTTTAAAATTCCTTACACTGATCTTAAAGGTGCTTAGACATAGATTTGAAGTTAATATTTTCTCAAAATTTCTGTATAATATCACGACTTATATATTGCAATAGTATTTCACACGAAAATATAATTAAAAACTTATTTTATCTGGAAATTATTGGAACTACGAATTCCTGGACGCGTTTGATTAACACATTCTTGCACTTTCACAAATTTTATCTTTATCCTTAATATTTAAGAAAAGAAGCGATTTTGTTGTTTCAATAACTTTGCGATGAAATAAGATTTTTATTATATTTTAGTATGAAATGCTATAGCAACATATAAGTCATGAAATTATACAGAAAATTTGAGAAAATATTAACTTCAAATCTGTGTCCAAGCACCTTAAAGTACTTAGTGAAACTTTACATAAATTCTCTTTGGCAAATATTTTGGGATTTTTGTGATAATAATAAACTGTATACCATACAAAACAAAGTTAATCAATCATCTGACTTTGGCCTGAAACGTCTGGACGAAGTCATTATTTCAAGAATAAGAATTGGGCATTCCAGGTTTACCCATTCATATTTACTGAGCGGGGAACAACAACCTGAATGCATATATTGTGACTGTGCAATAACTATACACCATATACTGTTAGAATGTTCTGATTTTACGCCTGTTCGAAATAAACTTCTTAATGGTGTTCAAACAATGCATGGTCTTTTTACAAATGTAAGTCCTAGTACAATTTTACAATACTTGCAAGAAACTGATTTTTACAATAAGAGATAAATGTATATATTTTTATTGGCATATTTGTAATTTTCAATTTAACTGTTTTTATTTTTAAATTTAAAGTCCGTCGGATGGGACGTAAAACGGTGCCCTGTGTCAAGGATTACAACCCCCTTGGCACGCTAAAGATCGTTTCTCTGGTTTTCGAAAAAGAGTAGGCTCATTGGGGGCCGCCAGAGAAACCCAGAAACTTTCAAAACCGTTTATACAGTATTTAAATTCATATCGCCGAAATATGGCTGAAATATTGCCGACTCGGCTAAAACAACAATAATCAATCAATCAATCAATCAATCTTTCATTAATCTCTTGTTCGTCTTTTTGATTGATCTGTTGGCTGTTGTGAGCTGGGTTATGTGAGCGTGGGTTCCTGTGAACAGCTTGCATTACTGTTGGCTACCACGTACAATTTGGATGGGGTAGTTGAGAACCTTGACGGCAGCCTCACTTCAAGAGTTAGTGAGAACATTAGTTCTTCTAGCAGATCTGTGTTACATTCATTTTCTTTTCCAATGGAGACAAAGAAATGTTTCGCCACATCGTTGACCACAATTAACATGGTGGGGTTGTTTTCTAGTTCTAGTTTCATTGTGTAAAATCCTGGTGTAGTTGTAGTGCGTTGCCTCATCTGGCAGTTGGGACATTTGAATGACGTGCCTGTTTGCAAGTCATCTGGAATTTTTACCTTGCAGTTTTGGCAAGTCTTGTTAATTTGAATAAGGACCGAAGATGGGTTGCCGACGTGAACGATTTCCTGACTTTGAGGTTTCTTGACCTGGATAAAGCTGTTTTGGGAGTAGTTGAGAGATACTTCACGCCATCAAATACTTTCACAGCCACATTTTTGAACAAGTAAGATTGACCATTTCCAACAGAATGTGACTCTCCCACAGAAAGTCTACACGTGTCTGTTGCGTCCCAACACCTGCATTAGCAAGAATTCCCTGCTTTTCTGGTGATCATCGATCTCCAATACTTTACATTTCACATTTATGTACACTGTACACTGTATGTTATGCTTGTTACATTTTACACTGTATCCACTTTGAGAAGTGAAACCTGATGAATTAATTTATAAAATTGACTTGTACAATTTCAGAGATCTAGTTTAAATGTTGTAGTTTTAATGACACTAAAATCATAATGAGCAAGTTTTATGGTATAAGTAAATGGCTATGTTTCACGAATAGTTTAACTTTATAATTTCAATCTCACTTCAACTTATCAATAATTAAGATTCAATCGTAATGATTATAGGAATAATTGGAAAAAATATAACCAGTAACCACAAACACGAATGTAATGCAGAGTTTAAGATTTTAATGATCCTTTGGAACTGGATTGAAATGAGGAAGTTAAAAATTGAAAGGATATTGTGGTGTTTAAAAAGAAAACGATATAAACTTACTGAGCGCTCTAGACACGTTTTTCACAAGCACGGCTTTCTTGGGGTCTTGTGCTTGGAGAAAGCGTGTTCTTTTCTCTGGTGAATAGTTCACAACGTCTCCAAACGTATTACTGTCTGTTTGTAGAACACAGTTGAAGTAAGTTACATTTGACCTCGAGGATGTTTTCGAAGGAGACACACTGTGCACATAATCTCGCACTGTTTTTTTTTTCTGGATCGCCCATTGTTTTCTTTTCCATTTCAGCCATTGTGTTTACAATGATAAGTAACGGAAAAAGTTCGATGCGGTCTAAAAACGCTTGAAATTGAAGCAGTGTTTTTCGTGAATTCAAACATTTTGCAGACTAAGCTTGTCGAATTATGTCCCCGAGTTCTAAATGTCTCCCTAGGATAACGAAGTTGGTTCCCTGTCCCTTGATTCCAAGAAAAGATCCATTTAAATTGTCAGAGAACCAGAATAACGAAGATGAGATGAAAAAAAAAAATTACCAATAAGTCCTTATTTTACTTCTGTAAAGATTAAAAGAATAATAATCGAGATAACTAACACACAGGTCACGTTCAACCAGTGTTAGCTTGACTTCATACGAAGGCTCTCTAGAATGCGTAAATCCGGAATTTGTACGCCTCTATTCCCCGAAAGGTCTAAGAGTTGTTTATTCAATTTGCAAATAAAGAAACTAGATTTATTTTTGTTATGGAAATAAACTTATGATATATTGATGGTATTAAATGTGTTAGACTAATAATGCGATATTATCAACTACTTGAAGGCATGCGAATTATTGCTTTGCGTATATTAACGTCATCGGCAAGTGCGCACCACCAACAAGTACCTGAAATCATCAACTATCAAGATACGATAAATTTTGATATTGGACATAAAAGTCTTAGATCTAATATGATGTACCCATTCTGATGATTCTATGTAGCGATTAATGTGCATATATGTGTATAGACACTACGTACAGTACATAAAGGTATGAAGAATGTGATAGATTGAATGCACTCTTTCACAAGGTTTATTTGGATGCTTCTTGGATCAGTAATTGTTCATTATCAAATACCTTGTGATTTAGATTTGCTCTTTGTTTGGACTTCTTATGGAATGGTGTGATTTCCATATACGCAAAATCATAGGCAGTGATAGGCGCTTAATTGGTTTCAAAATGTTATCTAACATTTGTTTTTCTAGATGTGTCTGAATACACTCATTAAATAAAAATTAAAAAAAAAAAAACGCTGAAATTAGCACGTTTTAAAAATATCACAAGGCCGTAACTAGACTCAATTTTTTAGTGAGGCAATGTTCTTAGGGAGAGGGGGAGTTCCCAAGATCTGCGCATTAGTAAATTGAGACAATCTCATAAGGTTTTTATGTTTTGAATTGTCGCCTGCATGGCGCAGAACATTTGCTGCAGAGTAAGGAGTTAATTCTTATATCGCAGGTTCGAATCCCACTGCGGGATGTGGAGACCGGTTCTTCGGATGAGACTATAAAATTTGGGGTACGTCTCGTGTAGTATAAAAGGTCTGCTGGCACGAAAAAAAACCTCATTACTCAATAACCCTGAGTGCTGAGAGCAGCTCTAAAATTTACAGCCCAAGTAGTGGCGTTTCAATATGTATGAAAAATTCTCGAAAGGGACGTTTAAAAAAAAACAAGTTTTGAATTTTTTTTTTCCATGCATTCTAAACGATAATGAAGCACCTGATGAAATGATCAATTTACAGAAATTGAAACAAAAGTATAATGCATTAATTTAGTGCTAAAACACACATTAAATGATTCAAAGTTCAAGTAAACCTTTTTTTACTCTTCAGAATGCTATAATATTTTAGAGAGGCATTTCCCTCACTTGCCTCAATGGTAGTTACTGCCCTGTATCATATTACTCTATATATAAATTGGTTCAGCGTTTTCAGAGTAGCTGAAAATGTTCAAATGTTTACAATCGACACATGACTGACGACGCACAACGACGGATGAAAACAGATAGCAATAACTCAGGTGACCTAAAAATACTTTACAAGATTAATTTGAAGTTTACAATACAAAAACTTTTTCCTATTTATTGATACATATAGTATATGAGGCACATAAAGGGGGTATGGCGACATTTTGGGAACAATTGACACAGGATGTTACTACTATTTGTTTGTTTGTTTGTTTATTGTTTAACGTCCCTCTCGAGAATTTTTCACTCATATGGAGACGCCACCACTTGTCGGTTGAGAGCTGCAAATTTTGTCCTATACTCGGCACTTAGGGCCATTGAGCAGTGAGGGATCTTTTTCGTGCCAGTACCTAATGCGACACGGGAACTCGGTTTATACAGTCTCATCCGAAGGACCGGTCTCCATGTCCCACAGTGGGATTCGAACCCGCGACGTAAGGATCAACTCCTTACTCCGCGACTCTAAAGCGAACGCTCTAACCACTGCGCCACGCGGGCGATGTTACTATTAAAACAAGTTCAAATTATTCCTACTTTATTATCATATGAAATAAAATGACATAAAACAAGATACTTCCCAAAAGTTTTACCAAAGGGAAAAGACCTGATAATCAAATTGTTTACAAATTACACATATGGAGATGCTATATTAGTTTAAAGGTAATTCTGTGAATTACAAAAAGGTATATGAACAACATTAATATTTCAGACCAAATCCCAGAAGAGTAACTTTAGAAGAAAGGCAAAAGTATTTCAACTCCTAGATGGAACACTGTATTACCTTCACAAGAAGCATTCTTTAGTGAGAGTTGTGAGATTTGAAGAAAAGGCTGCCATCCTTAAAGCATGTCATACCACTGCGACTGCTGGACATCAGGGAGTGAACAGAACTGCCACAAAAATAAGAGAAAGCGACTGGTGGGCAGGCATGCAGCAGGACATTGTTGAATATGTGACAAGTGTCAACGACAGAACCAGCTTAGAAACACACCATCAGTTCTTCATCCTATTCCAGTCCATGAAAGTCCCTTTTCGATGGTTGGACTAGATTTGGTTGGGCCCCTTCAGGAGACTACCAGTGGAAACAAATATATTGCTGTCCTCACTGATTACTTGACTTGGCAGTGAGTTCTGATATTCTCTTAATGACAAGTTGTGCCAATCAATAGGGATCCAGCCCAGAGTTTCAGTCCCCTACCATCCACAAACCAATGGACTGACAGAGATTTAATCAAACTCTTTGCATTGCACTCATAAAATATGTAAGTGAAAAGCAGGATGACTGGGACCAGTACCTACAACAAGTTGCATTTGCTGCGCGCACTTGAGCAGAAGTACACAAAAGAATCCCCCTTCTACTTAATCTATGGGAGAAAAGCAGTCCTGCCAATTCAATTAGATATTCCCACAACAGTGCCTAATTTGCAGAGACAGCAAACAGAAGAAGAGTTTGATGAAATCTACAGTGACAGGATAACTTCATTTGTTGAACTTCTAAAGGCCCATGATGCAGCTAAAGACAACATCAGCGTTGAACAGAAGAAACAGAAGACATACTACGATAGAAAACATGGCCAAAGAGCCTTAACGGTGACCTCAGTACATTACAATAATTTCGAGGATCCATAAACCCAAAAGCAAGAAAAATAGTATGATTAATTATCAAAGGTGAATGGCAAAGGGGAATAACTTTGCTCAGCAGAATACAAGTTCATAGAGCCCTGGCCAGGACCAGAACACTTGACTAAATGGTCCAGGTGCTCAAAATTCTGGTTAAAATACCCTTGCATATTAAGAGTCATTCTCTGTAAGGACCTCGGATGCAGTTCAAATGAATATCATAAATTTTAATAAAACATGTATGAAAAAATTATGAATGTGCATTAAATTAATTATATGTAAAAAGAAATTTTGGTTGTGACATATCCTCCAAGTTATGGCCCCCTAACACATTTTGTGGCCATCCCCCATGATTGACATAGCCAGTTTTCTCAAAATTTGACATCAAACAATCACAATAAATAATGCCCTATGGTTGAAATAAATGCATTAAATAGTGAGAACAATATGTGAGGTATAAATAAAAAATTATTTTGCACTATTATTAATATTCATTTTTATGATAAAGAAATTTTATTTCCTCTCCTTTTTAACCCCTAACCAATAGGCTAAATAACCAAAATTTCAGTGCCATTTTATGAAATATCCCAAGATAGGTTTATAAAATATTAACAATATTTTGAAAGGAAACATACTTGATTATTCATTTATAATTATTTTGAGTATGTGTTTTGTGATTCAAAAAAATAAAATGCATTTGAAAAATTAATAAAAAGGGTATTTAACAAAGGAGTTATTGCCCTTTGTAAGACTCTCTAGTAGCAACAGTGAAAGGAGGTAAAAACAATACTATTTGTAAGCATGTCGTCTGGAGTTCCTTTTTACAAACCATGTGTTTTATAGCAGTATACAGTATTTTTATGATTTTATATTGATAACTTTATATATATTTCTATACAAAAGTGCTAAGATTATGCAGTGCAGCTTTCTTGGAAGATGTGAAATTGATTGTTCTGAAGACATTCAACAACTTGTAAATTTCAGCATTGACCATGTTCATATTATTTTGTCTGAAGTGGGTCTTAAGCCGTGCATTGCACTTGCTAAATACAATGACTACCGAATATGCATGAGTCATTTTAACTTTTATTTAAAATTAAATACAAAGAGGTCAAGAAGGAAGCTATGTCAAATTCCGAGTCTTCTTAGCTCCCACCCACATATTGACAACACCAGTGAAGATGGACTTAGATCCCTTCCAAGTAGAACACATATGAAATGTGCTAGCAGGGGTTTGAAGGATAGTGACATCCTTCATTTGATTGGACAAGCTGGTATAACACTACCTGTTAATACACGTAAGTAACTAAAGTTCTAACTTGTACAATATTTGTTCTTAGAGTAGATTAACAGATGAAAAAGGATTAAATCAAAGTGAATGTAAATTTCATTGTGCATGAGAAGTATATTGAACACACTAATGATAAAGATTTTATATTGAACACACTACCCTAATGATAAAGACTTTATAAGATATATGTTGCCCAGAGTTAAAATTTACATGCTGAAAAAAAATCAACTATTAAATTAATTAAAAAAAAATCAATAGATTACATGTACCATATTAATGTAAGTAGCGTGTACATGTATATAAATAGCCCAATTTTGGTTGGTTAAATACTAAAATCAAACATGCATGATAATCAGATATCTTTAAAGAGTTTATCCAATTAATTATTGTTATTTAGACCTTGTCAACATACAAAACTAATGTACTGTTAAATTGTACTGTTGAATCAATGGCTATAACAACACATTCTTGTATAATGTGCTTTAGTGCCAGTAAAGAATTGAATTGTTAAATAAAAATATATGATTTATTGTAGCATGCTGTACCATGTGTTTAAAGAAAATAAGAGAACATGAAGAAGGGGAAGATCATTTGTTCAACATGGAGTGTTCAGCATCAGACAAGGACAAGGTTCGATCATTACAAAACAAAATTATAAAGAGGCATAGCAACTTTACCCAATATTTCGCCCACTTATCATGTATAATAGAAAGTACCTGTAACTATAAATAGATTTTCTAGGCGCATATGTTTAGGAAACCAACTTGTTGATCAAATTCTACATTTATATCATTTTATTTTAAAAGATTTACCCATAAACTAATACATGTATGCTCTGATTCGTGCTATTATATACATTCACATGAAACATTTTTTTAAAACTACATATATAGGTATGTATATACGAGGTATTTCTCGTAATTTCGTGCTTCAAAACCAGCCTCTCTGCACATATAATCCAATCAAAAAAAATATTTTAATATTTTTTATTTGTTCGACATTTTACTTGTTCAGAATTATATCACAAGTTTATTTCTTGATTGCATGTTTTTAAACATCTTGTTACCATGAAAGGTCTACATCACTATTTGTTTCAGAAACTTAATTTTGCTGCATCTATGTATACATCATCAACAAATCTTCTATGTCTCTTCTTTCCAAAATAGTAAAAAATTCCATGTTATATTTAATTAATTAAGCCAGGTAAGGAATATAGTATGTAGACAGGCTTGAACAATAATGTATAGATCTATATATTTCTGATGTACCAATCATGTATATGATTTTTGGAAAATATGACGATTAAAAATTATTAGCTGAAGTAAAAAATAAAATATATTTGTACAAGTAACTATCATCAATGAAAAAAAAATTGAAATTTGAGGGGTTTGAACCAGAGACCTCAAACACAAAAACAGTTCAGCATACACCACTAGGCTATGCAGACTATTAACAATCCTTGTGCCTTTTGTGTATATAAAGCCCCAAGTTAGAGTCTTTGGGAAAATAGGATAACTGAGTTATATAATCAGTTTTTAATACGAAGACCATGGTAAACCAAAAAGACATAAAATAATAGTATAACATGATATCAAATCCCTTTAAGATGTGTCTGGTTTAAGTTGGTTCAATTACATAAATCTGAATTTTTTTAGTTCTCCATATATCCCATGCAAATTCTGTAAATTTCATTGATTTTGTTTGAGATAATTCAGACTATTTTTCCAGGTTTTGGTATAATTTGTATTTATATAGGCTATATGTTGTATACTTAGTGCACTATACCTATTTACCGTGCTAAGTTATCAACAAATTTTTAAACAGGAAACAATATTAATTATCAAATATTTGTATTTATTTTCATTTATGTATCATATTTTAACTGTCCTAGCTGTTAAAGTTTTGTTCCTGTTTATGAATCTACAGATTCAAATACCTGTACATGTACAGACAGAAGCTGAGGCCATTAAAATGGAAGAGTGTTCAGAAACAAGGGAACAACCAAGTGACAAGGTAACTACAGGGATTTATCTAGCTATTTTATTTGACAAACTTAAGGCTTTTCATGAAAGGAGGAAAATGAGTATAGTTGCAATGCATTTAGTGATGGAGGTGTGAATATACTATGGAAGTCCAGGAGCAGGCCCCTCTGGAAATTTTCAGATAAATGCTGCAAAAATCTGCATCTTGAGAGCTTAGTTTGGGGTTATTTTTAGAACTATTACCAGTATAAATCAATATATTTTAAATGTTACTTGTGTGTTAATTAACGAATTATTCATAACTTTCATTCATTCATTTTCATATACATGTACATTTATACATTTTTTAAGGGGAAAGGTAACTTTTAAACTTATAAAACAGCATTGATAAATCTGTAAAGTAATCCAGCAAGAATTTTAAAGAAAACCTAAATTTGTATCCTAAATTTTATGTCACAAGATACATGTAAATGTAATTGAAATTGTACCTTTCTGATTTTTCAAGCAGAGGAAAGATAAAAATATGTAAACCTTAGATAGGAAAAAAAAAATCCTTAATAGAGCCTAAGGCTAGAATGTATTTTTTGTTTGTTGCTTATATGTACACTGTTAATGTATTTATAGGATCCCTTATTCCATTCAGGAAGTAAAGAGACATCCGAAACAGTAAGTATACATGTATATTGCATTTGACAATTGTGAGCAATGGACTAAGTATTTAAGAGAGATGTTGTTTTAGAACAAAAAGTATCAGTTCATTTCATGAATGAATTTGAGAAATATTTATTTGTGTAGCAAATGGCACTATAAATAAAAATATTAAGTGATTTTGAACTGGTTTCCACTAATTTTATGTAGTATTTATTTGGAAATTTCCTTTATCATTTACAATTTCACACTACTATCAGTAGTACAAAGTATCAATTTTTTACTTGCCTGTGAAAGTGCCAATTTTACACTAACTATTTTACATAACTATTTGATTGACAAAAATTTTCAAATTGAAATGGCAACATAAAATAAAGCTTAAGAATTGTATTGTTTATAATTGGTATACATATGTAATATAATGTACATTGTATTACCGGTAATTAAGTTTTCATTATGTACTTCAATAAAACTTGTCTAGTCCAGAGAGCTGGTTCTGTAGAAAGTGGCCAGATAAACAACATTTAGGATTTAGCAAAATTTTAAGTAATTGCATTTTTTGAAAAGGACATATACCTTGCCTGTAGGTTTACATTGTATTAGAAAAGAGTTTGGAATACACAACATCAATCTGTATTAGACAAGTAGGCAAGATTTTGGAATGCACAACATCTGTATTAGCCAAGTTTCACTGGTGTATATAAATTCTAGAAAATGATATTTATAATTCTATTGTATCAACCCTCATACATACATGTATGCAAAAGATAAACACATATCAACAATTATATATTTGTACAAACTCAGGTGATTGAAGATATCCTTACTCAGACTTCCTGCAAAAGTAGCATGACTCAGAGTTCCTGTGAAAGTGTTGAAAGTAGCATGGAATGGCTTTCTCAGGCTAGTAAAATAGAGTATATACATATTTTTTTTAGCTCACCTGAGCCAAAGGCTCACATTAGCTTTTCTAATTAAAAAATATCTGGCATTTGTCAATCTGCCATGTCTTGTCAGTAAACTTTTCACATTTTTTATTAACTTCCGCTCAAGTACCACCTGACCATTTTCAACCAAACTTGCCTCAAATCATCCTGGTTGAAGAGAAATTAAGATTCTTCACATGATATGTCACATTCCTTTTCAAGGGGGAGATAATATACAAGAATTCATAAAAATTTGGAAAGATCCTTTAAAAATCTTAGGACCCACTGGGCCAGAAAAAAAAATTGAAACCAGCACATATGGGGCTTCTTTGTTGTCCACCATTTTCACAAAATCTCATTTGCCTGTCAGTCAGTCACAGAAACACAACTTTTGATTGAGTGAAGAAATGGCTTTTATATTTCACTGTATTTTCACATATGCATTAACTGTGAAAGGTCTCTGAATGTACTTGTCAAAGAAAAAAATTTCAACTTAGTATACCTGAAAAAGAAACTTTTTTCAGTACCAATTTTTTTTTCCATACAGTACTACATTACCCATATTTACCTATACTGAACAAAAAATGGGGGGGGGGGCAACCAGCCTTTCAAAGTACATTTTCTATAGAAAAAAATTGTGTGGAGACCCCATTTTTTTTGCATGGTTCCATTAAACTTCTTTAAGTCGTTGTTAACTGAAGTATTATTTAAATCTAAATACCTATATTGTCTATTACAGAACTCAAGCCAGAGTTTTACATTAAGTCATGACATTCAGCACCTGAATGAGTATCTGAAGAAAATTGGTGAAAGAGAGTTTTCAGAGGATAGGAAATACCAGTGGGACTCCTACACTAAGTCAGCTAAATCATACTACATCAAGCGATTTAGAAATATAATGTCAAAGTTGATCGCTGTTATTTTCCCAAAGAACATTGAGGAAATAGTGAAGAGTCTTACAGTATCTGAAGAAAATCCAAAAGTCTCGTCCAGTATTATACATGAGGGAAGTTTTGGACCACTTATTCATGCATATCAAACTTCAGAAACATGGCGCCACAGACGGCAAATTCTTTCTTTTTTTACGCAAACACTATCATTCAAAGAGGCCAAATCCCTTTTACCGAATATGACAGAATCGATGTATTATGCTGCAAAGAATCATGCAAAGAATGTTGGCCCTGGTCTTCCTGTAAATACCACTTCTACAAGAAAAAGAATGGATCCAGTGAAGTTGGACAATTTCCTTGATTTTATCACTTCCCCTCATGTTATTCGTGATCTACCATATGGAGAAAGAAAAATCAAATTGTCGGATGGAACAACTTATGAAATGCCAAATGTGATTCGGTGCATGGGATCCAGTGATGTTATTCAACAGTATAAAGCATACTGCTCTGAGAATAACATTTCACCTCTTGGTTAGTAAAGATACATATATAGACTCTACATCTTCATATTCATGTACTGTTTTTTGTGAAAGTGTTGTACTTTTATTTTATATGAAGGTAATTGCTATATTTGCTTTTTCAAAAATTATTATATTTTGTGACCTAGTACATGTATATATTATATATAAAAAAAATAGATGTGTGAAATATGATCTTCCCCCAAATTTTATTTATACATGTAATATTTTGACATATTACTAGGTGACAGCACAATGTATAGAATACTATCTGAGTGTGGAGCACAAATAAGAACCAGTCTTGAGGGTGTTGACTACTTTATTGCTGAGGGAGGTCGTGCATTCCATACCATTTTGGACACTTTGGAGGAACTCCTTAAGTTTCAGTTTTTAAACCAACAGGAGAAAAAAGACTTCTATACCCTATTTCTCCAATGTAAACAGTATCTACATGCAGATTTCAAGGTATTATGTAAGTAATTTTAAAAAAATGGATAGGGGATCATTAATGATTACATGTAGTCAGGGTTAGAAACTCCCTAAAATTACAACTCGCGAATAATTGCGAGTACCGATAAAGTGAACTCGCAATTTTATAAGACTACTCGCAATTTTCATATATAGTTAAATTTATATAAATTAAATACACATAACTTAAGGAAAAAGTAACTACTGTACAATACACAAAATACAACTACAGTGTGACTTTTATTTAAATTACTGATTTAAATCAAAAGCATTGTGTTCTGTTATATTATATAATTTTGCTACAGTTTTAATGCAAAAAAATCAACTCGCAAGTTTTTGCAAGTTACCTAATTTTTAACTCGCAATTTGGGAATTCTAACTCGCGGGTTGCGAGTTGTATATAGTGAATTTCGAACCCTGCTGGTGTGCAAATGTTGGTCTGTTATAGTAGACCACATGTTTTAAGCTCAGTTATTTATAGAACCTTGAGACAGACATAAAACATCTTTGTGTAGTGATACAGAGTAATATGTCTTTGACTTTTTAAGACTTGAGCTGTTTCTTAAAGATTTTCATTTCACCTTAGACACACATCTCCCCAGACAGCAAAGTAGCAGATCATTGCCAGACCTATGCCCTCAGTGATCCACTTCATCCTGAATTTGCTGCCGCCTGCCAACATCCACATGATCTGGTTTGTGTGACCTGTGAGCAAATGAAGGATGCAATTTCTTCTTTGATGAAGACTATCCAGTGCTCCAGCAACCATGGCCTGACTGATTTTCTTAGTGATTTACACTTCAAACTCCAAAATGCCACTCGAAGTATCACAAACCTGAAACGCCGTCTTATTCGGTGCAGAAACCAGGATGCAGCAAAATCTGATCTGTTTAACACAATGCAATCCAATGAAGTGCTTTTGATATGTGACTGGTCAATGAAATATTTACCAAGAAAGTATAGAGAAGATCAGAGTGATTGGTTCGGGAAGCGTGGTTTACCATGGCATATTACTGTGGCTTTCCACAAGATGGAGACTAGTGTTGAGAGCTTAGGCTTTGTGCACATCTTCCAGAGTCAAATATCACAGGACAGCATGACTACTGCAGCCATCATCATTGATGTAATGGAAAATATTCAGTCTATTGATGCATCGATTTCCTCTTTTCATGTCTGATCAGACAACGCAGGCTGCTATAAGTCAACAGAGATGATGGCCCTCCTTAAGTCATATGGAAAGGTCAGTTCCTTCAATTTCTGTGAGGCACAGAATGGGAAAGGGACGTGTGATAGGACTGGAGCAACTTTAAAGGCAGCTATCCGCCGCTTTGTGAATCAGGGACATGATGTGCTCACAGCACATTCAATGAAAGAGGTTTGTAATTGCAGTGATTTTCTAATTAGATAATTTGTTTACTGAAAATCATTATACTTATATGTCTGTACACTACAAGGAAGTATTAGAGTCCATAAGAGGGAACATGCAAATACCAGATTCCTCAAAAAGAGAAGGAAAAAAAATAAAATAATAAATGTGTTTTAGGCAATTGAGAAAACAGCAAAGAATGTGAAGTACAGGGTTAGTGTTTCAGAAATTGCTTCACAGAAGACTTCCTTCAAGCCCATACCTGCCATCAGCTCTTATTCCAACTTTGCATTTGAGGAAAGGGGCATACGCGTTTGGAAAGCATATGGTATTGGCTCAGGTAAACATTGTAAATAAGCTGCTTATAAACCAACTAACAGTAAATGTTTTAAATGATACATGTATTTGAAATTTCATGAACATTCAATAAAAATTACTATACCTCTCAGTGGTGTAGACATGTTGCAAAACTGTAATTCGAACATTTTTTTAGCTCACCTGAGCTGAAAGCTTAAGTTAGCTTTTCTGATCACATTTTGTCCGGCGTCCGTCTGTCTGTTAACTTTTTACATTTTCGACTTCTTCTTAAGAACCACTGGGCCAATTTCAATCAAACTTGCCACAAAGTATCCTTGGGTGAAGGGAATTTAATTTTGTTCAAATGAAGGACCAGGCCCTCTATGTTAATTAAACATTAGTGAAAAATTTAAGGCATTTTTTTTAAAAATCTTCTTCTCAAGAACCACTGGGCCAAGAAAGGTGAAACTTACATGGAAACATCCTCAGGTAGTGTAGATTCAAGTTTTTTCAAATCATGACCCCCGGGGATAGGGCGGGGCCACAGTGGATGATTCAAGTTTTACATAGGAATACATATTGGAAAAATCTTTTTCTCAAGAACAGCAAAGCCATGATAGGTCATATTTATATGGAAGCATCCTCAGGTAGTGTAGATTCAGATTTGTTCGGGAACACTTATGCATTTAAACTTTTCAATACTTAACTGATATCTGTTTTTCTCATAGCCACAGTGCTCAGGTGACCAATGTGGCCCATGGGCCTCTTGTTGTTTAAATCACATAGACTTGTTATTAGCATCCCATGAAGTTTCTGTATGATTAACACACTAATAACTCCCACATGATTAAAAGGTGGCAACAATTGACTTGGATTTGAATTTATTGTTGTCCCATATATCGTTATTTTTCCCCAAAATTTTTTTACATCAGCACAGTGCTGAGTTTCCTATATTGATCTTAAAATTGAAGGTATTGATAAAATAAAAATAGTTGATGGTGGGATAAGAATAAGAAGAAAATCGTTTCCTGGAGGTGTAAAAGAAGTTTTTAGTCAGGCCATTTTTAGGTAGTTGGTCAGGAGAAGACAAGCAGACAATCCATTTTAATGATGACCTTATACAATGAACCTCCACATTTGTTTATTTTTTGAGATTATATATGTATTCTACTTTAATTGTAGGTTTATTAGTCCCAAATGCTGTCATTCCAAGAATTAAATTCCAGCCACTAACAATTTTAGAGAAACCAGAAGACATAGGTTTTCATATTGTTACAAAAGCCAACACAACTCCAGAAGCAGAAAAGACCTTTCAATGTACAAATGAGGGATGTGTCAAAGCTTTTGGTTCAACTGAGGATTTGTCCAACCACCTCCTAATTGAAAAATGTAACCTTGAATTTGAACTGAGTTCCAGCTCCACATCTGATATTACCAAAACAAAATATGTCAAGAAAATATCCAGTTCTGAACATCTAAATTTGAAACTATCTTTGACTGCAGACACAGAAATACGAGCCACAGAGAGTGATTTAACTATAGGATGGGCTCTGAAAGAAGAGAGATGTTCAAAGAGATTTAATGAAAATCAGAGAGAATATTTGGTCGAAAAATTCAATGCTGGACTACAAACTGGAAAAAAGGAGGACCCCTTTCTACTTTCTGAATCTATGATGTATGAAAGAAGGGCAGATGGTACAAGGCGTTTTTCGTATGAAGAGATTCTGTCTGTGCAGCAAATAACCTCCTTCTTCTCTAGAATGAGCAAGAAAAACAAGATGGCTGAAAATGATGACTGGGAAGCCAAGAAAGAAACAGAAATAAGTAAAATTAGGGTGAAGATCATTGATGAATAATTCATCGAACAAAATAAGTTTTATTGTTTTCATCCTGGTAACTGAAGCGGTATGCTGTATTCATAGAAAATGCAGATTGAAACCATTTGATGAATTATATTTGTTAACTATGTAATGGTTCATACATGTATTTTGAACACTTGACTTTAATATTATGCAATTGTTGCATTCATTTTGTTTAAAAATCATTCCTAGGTGTCAAAAATGTACATGTATGTAATGGACCACATTTTGAAGAAGCTAATACATATTTGATTTTCGTATAATGCACTGCTTTCAATTTGCTTCAAACCATTTTTAGCTCACCTCGACGAAGTCGAGATGAGCTTATGCTATACCCCCGGCGTCGGCGTTAGCGTCGGCGTCCCAGTTAAAGTTTTAGGAGCAAGTCCCATTCCCAAGTAACTATAAGCCCTACCTGGACCAAACTTGCATGGATGATGCATCTAGGGATAGACACTACCACACTTGCTTCGGATGCTGGATCTGACCTAGATTTTCCAGATGAGTGACCCAGTTAAAGTTTTTGAGCAGGTCCATTTCCAGGTAACTATAAGCCCTACCTTGACCAAACTTGAATGGATGATGCATCTAGGGATGGACACTACCACACCTGCTTCGGATGCTGGATCTGACCTAGATTTTCCAGATGAGTGACCAGGTTAAAGTTTTTGAGCAGGTCCATTCCCAAGTAACTATAAGCCCTACCTGGACCAAACTTGCATGGATGATGCATCTAGGAATGGACATTACCACACTAAATTCAGATGCTGGATCTGATTTAGATTTTCCACATGTGAGACCAGATTTAGATTTTGGAGCAGTCTTATTCCCAAGTGACTATAAGCCCTACCTGGACCAAACTTTCATATATGATGCATCTAGGGATGTACACTAACAAACCTGCTTCGGATGCTGGATCAGGCCTAGATTTTCCACATGAGTGAATTTTAGCAATATTTTAACTAAATTAGCATGGATGATGTATCTAGGGATGAACGCTTCCAGACTTTCTTTGGATTCTGAATCTGACTTACGTTTTCTAGATGAGTGACCAGGGTAATTTTTTTTTTGAATTAGCTATATAAAATTATGGCCTGTTATTATTAAACTTGCATGGATGATGCATCTAGGGATGGACACTACCACACTTGCTTTGGATGTTGGAACTGACCAAAATTTTCTTGATTAGTAAACAGGTTAAAAGTTTTTTGCGTAGGTCTATTTCCAAGTAACTATAAGTCCTACTTAAACCAAACTTGCATGGATATTGATCTTGGGATGTACCCTAACCAGAAAAGAAATATGATGTGAAATTTGCCTTACTTATAGATAACATTCGTCGAGGTGAGCTTTGTAATCTTTGATTACCTATGTTTTTTTAAAGCTTTCAATAACGTACATTCTTAAATACTGGAATATAATTGGTGTATAAAACATTCATCTCATTGAATGTACAGTTTTATCCTATATCACGCATTATCAGTTGCATGTTGAATTTTCATAAAATTGACAGAAAAAATGAAAGAAATTGATGTCAAAAGTGACTTTGTCTCGTATTATCATTATTAGGGCTTAAAGAAACTGGGGGATAAGCCAAGCCATACTATACAACTACTGTAAACATTGAAATCCCTAGGTAAATTCAAACAATTGGGATATTTCCAATAAATGTACTTGCTTAGCTGCAAAATGGACATGAGTACTTGGCTCGTCTTATCCCCCCAGATTCTTTCTGAAAATGTGAAAAAGCAATACTATTCTTCAGCTTACTTTGCATTCTTGACCTTAACTTTACGGCTTGATGAATCAATAAATTAACTGTTCATCCACTCTATTTTAGTTAAATTTGTAACAAATAAGTTTGATACCTTAAGTAGATAAAATTTGAGTCATCAATCCCCAGTCTTTTTCTCATTTAAAACAAAAAAAAAAAAGGGGGGGGGGAGGTTAATTTGAAAATTCTGTGTTTTACTTTTATATCTACACTAAGTCTATCTACAATTCATATTTAAAATTGGTAAGTAGCATGAGTTGCATGTGCTTTAGTGTTGTTAAAATTAATTTAAAAAACCATAAATTGTTATGTTAAAAAACATGAAATGAGAATATTCCCAAGAATGGTTGCTATGGTAACCACTTGTATGTTGTTATCCTCCCCTAAAATAATACATTTTTATTCATTTTTATCATTTAATCCTACCTTAAGGTTATTTTACATTAAAAATGTTCTTAAAAGAGAAAAATAATCTCTACAAAATATACCACCATAAAAGTATAATAGAGTTTTCTAATCTGTATCTGAGGAAATTCGGGATTTGGGGACATTTTCATTCTGATATTTCTCCAGTTATCTAAAATACACACTTTGGAAATCTATATGAAATGACAGACTATAGTGTAGATATTAAGAATAAATAAGAAGTTTTGAAAACCTATCTTGGAATTAAAAGATAAATATAATTTAAATAGTGGGTAAAATGGGTTTTTCTGCATTTTAAAAAAAGCACAAAATTTGATATTTTTAGCCTTCTATCAGCTTGAAACACTTCAGGCCATAGATTTAAATCCTAATTATTTTAATCAAATAGGAATGCTTAAAACAAATTATATAATTGAAAGCGTTCATATTTTTTGTGTTTAAAGGAAATATGGGGGTTAAAAATGCTCTATTTCATGAAATAGAAACTGTCAAAATGACCATAATTCTGTCAGTTCTGGTTGCCATGGCAACGGACACCCCAAAACATAAACTAAGGTGGTTTTCTCAGTAAGACACCTGAGTATACTCTTAATACAAAAAATTACGTATATCGGGGTCATTTGTTTGAACGGCGTCCTTGGATTCTTTGGTTTTTACGGAGAATGACTCTTAAAACTTTTACTCTGTTTGCCTCGAATATGCCCAGAAGCATAGAAGATTTTCAAAAGAAATGCATTTTCACTATATAATTAAATAAATAAAGCCCTCCCCCCTTTACACCAGTACATCTTACCCAGGGGCCATGAACACACAATTCTGAAAGAAGCACCTTGCTCATCATAACTATACACTTGTTTCTTTGCTTTATTACCAGTAGTAGAAAAAATATTTTGAAAGAAATGCATTTTCACTATATAATCAAGAGCCCCCCCCCCCCCTTTCACCAGAACCCGACTCAGGGGCCATGAATTTCACAATTTTGAGAGAGGCGTTCTTCCTTATCATAACCATGCACTCTCTTTGTTTGAATAATACCAAAGAGCAGAGAAGACGATTTTGAAAGAATTTATGCATTTTCCCTATATAATCAATAGAGCCCCGCCCTAACACCAGAACCCTTCACCCAGGGGCCACAAAGTTCACAATTTCTGAGGAGGCAGCCATGCTCATCATAGCTATGTACTTAGATTAATTAATATTCAGGAGAGAAGAAGATTTTCAAAGAAATGATGTATTTTCACTATATATATCAATTGAGCCTCACCCTAACACCAGAACCCCTGACCCAGGGGCGATGAAATTCACAATTTCTGATAAGGCAGCCATGCTCATAATATCTTATGTTCTTATTTAGTTTATTTAATATCCAGGAGCAGAGAAGAAGATTTTCAAAGAATTAATGCATTTTCTTTCCACTATATAATCAATAAAGCCCCGCCCTAACACCAGAACCCCTGACCCTGGGGCCATGAAATTCACAATTTCGGAAGAGGCACTCCTGCTCATCATAACTATGTACTTAGTTAGTTTATTTAATATCCAGGAGCAGAGAAGAAAATTTCAAAGAATTAATGCATTTTCACTATATTACTAGTAAACTAATTGTTCACAGAAAAATTAGAGGTCTTTCCACCTTTTTAAGCGTTTCCATGTTATTTGGGTTGTAAAAAAAGAAGAAAATGAAAAAAAGAAATTAAATTAGATAGTTGCAGGTTCAGAAAGAAGATTCCTGATTGAAACAAGCCTCCATGTGGCTTAAATTTAATGCAGCTATAATAAATAAATGTTCTATATGCATTTTAAGAAGAAAACAAGATAATGAAAGCGTGGAATAGTTTATTTCATACATTTATATTGGCTTAACCCCCCTTTTCATATATTCTGTATTTCTCGTATTTTGGATGACCTTGACCTTTGAACTTGACCTAAATATCAAAAACAAAAATGCAAGAATCCATTTCAGTTGGTCCCATGTCTCTACGTGAATGCGTTAAATTTTGTTTTTGCAAGTATAAACAGCAAGAAACTTCAGGGGCGTTAACTTGTAAAAGGTTTTGACGAATCTTTTCGCAATAATAGACTTAAAAGCCCTCTCAATTAGTCGAAAGCGTTGGTGAAGGTTCTGTACCTCTACGGCTTATGGTTTCAGAGGAGTAGCGATAACAAGCTATTCTTGCTTATCCATGAAAAATGAAAAAGAAACCAGAAAATGCTTGGAAGACGTAAAAAAGGAAAATTAAAAAAAAATTGAAACGACCATAATCTTCGACATTGAACATATATTCACATTGCAATTGTTTTTTATATTATATCCATTCGAAAACAGAGGATAAGTCTGCATTCTAAATGAATGGGAATATGGATTAAAAACCTATGTATTTAAAAAAACAGAGTCTGAATACATCCAGTACAAAAGTGATAATTTTCTTTTAAGATATGTTCTTAGTGACTCTTAGTAAGAATATGTTACTTGGTTACTTTATTTATTGACTTAATCGCAGCACTTAACAAATGAACCTGAAACCGAGTAAAATCAGTATATTTGGAGAATAAAATAAAAACAAAAACCATGTTTGACGGTTATTTTATTCTTTTATTTCTAGAATTTATTTCTTTGTTATTGCTCTGAAATAAAAGAAAAAAATATAGAAATTAAGATAAATTGTACTAATTGCATTTTTTATGAATTAAATAAATTCATTTATCAACCTCAGATAAAAAAAAAAATAAGTGTTAAAATTATAATATAAAATGAAATTTTACGTTACGTATTACATGTACATTGTTGAATGAATTGTTTAATTTCATATACAACCGATATAAAAATGCTTACATTTCTAC